TCCAGCCAAGTATTTTGTTACAATACCAAGACTCCTGCTTTGCATGGAGATTAAATGCAAATTCCCATTTCCCATTTAAGCCTGACCCTTGCCGTCTTCTAATGGGCTACTTTAATTAATATTCCTCCTGCCTCTACTCAGTGTAGCTTTCAACACTGTAGGTCACCGCACGGTCTGTGTCTGCTTCCAGTAGTCACACTGACATTCACAGTTGCCCCATCATGACTGTACCCCTTTCTACCAAACCTTCCCTAAGTCGCCAGTGCCACTACAGAAAGCTATGCTGTACCACCAAGCTTTGGGTCTCAGGTTTCCCCCACCATGTCTGCCCACCCGCTATTGTTTAGGTAAGGGCATAAAATTGATGAAAGACCAACCCTCATGTCCACACAAAAGTGAAATCCTGCAGAAGACCAAACTGCGGTCTGCAGGATTTCCTGCACATCAGCTCACGATCTGGATCTTGAACCATTATCAGTTCAAAGCTGATGATATGTGACCAACCACATATTTTAGTCTCCTTAGAAAGAACTCTTCTGAAACCTCCTCTCCTTGACCAGATTACGTAAACACGAGTCTTTACATCAGTTTTATGCAGTTGAACATCTCAAAGATTGAAGTGCTTTAAGAGAATCATCTTAAAGCAGAGCTGCTTCTCCTGTAGCACCCTCTTCAAACACCTTCCTCCTCTTTGTCTTCATGCTCTGAGTGAGCTGCTCTTACATCTCCCTCTGTGCTCCCAGCCCAAGTGTGCTGAAGAGGCTAAGACTCCATAACGTTGACATTGCATGCATTTCGTGTTAACCCTGCTCAGAAGGGCTTCATGCGCGCCTGAAACACACGATGTAAGGCATGTTCATCGCATATATATTGCTGTTCCTCTATGTGGGAATGCACACAACTGCTGAAAATCTGTCACATGGCTGCTTGGAACATGGCTTAAAAAAGCATCTTAACACAAATGTCACAAACAACTAGCAACCCTGCAAAGCTCTTGCAAATATACAGGTAACAGAGAACTCTGGTGACTAGACTTAAAATTCTCATTTGGGGAGATTTAAAAACTTGTTTCTAACATTAAAACTGACAGACAAACTCATTTTCCCTGAAGGAGAGAACACTGATAATCTTTCTAAGAAAAGTTATTTTTAAAAGGAGGCCTGAAATACAGGAAAACAGCTGTTTTTCTCAGCAGAGGACAGTGGAAAGTAGAGACTAGGACGTGATACAAAAGGAGGTGCAAAAAGTTATCATTAAGCAAGCACATGAGCTCATATTCTATTTCCAAAACTTAGTTGGTTTGTGGTGTAAGCAAATCACTTTCATTTCCCACATTTCAATATAATACCATTTGTATCTGTAGATAAAATCAGCCCTGGATCTTCTGCAAGCCTACACTTTGCCTCAACGAACAACTCGGATCACAACTCAATTCCATTCCCTTCCCCAAACTCCCTTCTCCTCACCTACCATCTGTCCTCATGACACGTAGGACACACTAGTCCTCAGTATTGTCTCAAGAGCTTGCCAGCGCTCCTCAGCAGGTACCTTTGAGATGGTAAAATCCAGGAGAAAACCAGGAAGGAAATCCCCGTGGAAGCAGGAGGACCTGAGAACACACCAGCCCTACAAGGTCCCACCAAAGCTCTTCTCACCCAGCTTCTCCTCCCTTACAACAATCTCTTATCCCTGGAGAAGCAGCTCAGGTGAAGGTGTCAGTAGCGTATCTACTCCTCAAACACCTCCACAAAAAGGCCCCACTGGATAAGAATGCTGCCTATCAAAACCCAACAAGATGTATTTTACCCCATTTTGGATGCTTTAAAGTCCACTTGCGGATAGCAGCCACGCAAGGTAGGATCAGAGTCGTGTTGGAGAGTAACAAGAAATATTAGGCAATTTAATTTATCCTCCTGTGCAGGGCACGGTTCTGGGAGGGAGAGCGAAGCGGTTACACGATGCAAAGAGCACTCAGACTCAGCCCAGACAGCCTGGAGTGTGTTTTATGACTGAGTTATAAACCCCTGAAAACCAGCTTTTATAATGAAAATGCTGACACAGTCTTCAGCGCAGTGACAGCAATGTCATTGGTTTAAATTGAACTTGCTTTGTCAACCCAGGAGCACTTAAATAAAACATCTAAAAAACTTCATGAAAACACACAAAGTATTTGTGATGAAACACTTTTGAACAGCTCTACAGATTATGTATTAAATTTCATTCACTTCAGAAAATAGTGAGGAAAGAAATGCAAACTCCAAAAAAGTGAAAGAATAATAATAAAAAAAGCTAGCAGCATTTCTTCTTTTTTTTCTTTTTTTTAAATTTTTAGTTTATTTTGTATTTTTGGCAAAGGGAAGACTGAGCATCCTCAGATACCTCATACTTCAAAAGGAGTAGGAACGCTCACCGTCTCTCGAAACTTAGGCGGTACTTTTGATACTCTGATACTTCTCACACTCTGCCAGCAAGCTTTTGGGGGGCAATTTTCTTAACCTTCAAAAATAACAGTTTAGTTTCTCATTACGCATAGCTTTTTGCAGCAAAGAAATTCAAGACATTTTAAAGGCTCAGAAGAATAAATGAGAAGATTTATTTAGCTGCAACTTTATATTATCAAACATCAGAACAGCCCTTGCTAACGTGGTCCCACATGCCATTTCTCTTAGATTAACACGCTAGAACTGCACTAGCTTGAAGTTGTAGGGATTGGAGTATTACACTACTAAGTGGGGATGATTTTAAAATCCTACCACAGATGCTAACTTCCCTTTTTAACAGTTCCATCAGCAAGAGCCTGGGAGTCTCCACTAGCAATCCCCATGTCAATACAGTGTTACTTTAATGACAGTGACCTTGTGTGGCTCTTTGAGCATTTTCTTCACCTTTTTTGAGACATTTTTCTAAGCCACCGTCCTTGCTTTCATCATTTAACACATCACTCAAACCACTTCAATAAAACAGCGATCATGTTGAAGAGAGGTCTCAGAGGACCAGATGACATACCAATTAACAAAGCACACAGAACCAAATTGGTTTTTGTACATCTGGTTCGGAAGACATTTGTGGAAAGTGAAAAAGAAGAAAGAAAAGTTAAGAAGGTTTAAAAGAGGAAAGTAAATGCAAAAGAAAGGAGTTTTCCTAATGTTGGCTAATATAATATGAAATTCATCCTTCAAATAAAATTCATGACCAGACAAGTTACCATCTAATAATCCCAAACTAAACTCCAGATATCATGGTCGACATGGTAAATCATTGGCTTGTTACTGCACATCAAAATACATTTTTTTATTCAGCAAAGGAACTAGTAAATACTTGCTCAATAGGACTCTGTATTTATATCACTTATTCCACCCTGAATCAGGAAAAAGACCGAGTCAAGTCTTAACATAACACAACCTCGTTTTAGCCCTTTGTTGCCTGGATTAATTTACAGAGTGCGTGAGTACGTTCTGTATCTCTCCCAAAATTGTTGAGGGCTCTCCAGCACCACAAACCATTAAAATGCGCAGTAAAACAAATGAAGAGAACTGCATCCCCCGTGACACGTTAAAGTGTGTCATTATTGTAATTCAGAGGTAGCTTCAGTCAGACTCCGGAAAAGATTTACAAGATCTGAATGCAATGATTCAGCAGTAAGTATTTTCATTTGGGTTAAAACTGATTCGGTAAGGAATTTATTATTTGAAAGCCTAACACTAGTCTTGGTTAATTTTCAGGCTACAAAATGTGAAATTTGCCTAGATGCAGAGGGTCAGCACCAAGAGGACTTAACTTCTATCTAATCTTCTGCTAAAAACACCAGTTGCACTTCACCAAAAGGTATATTCAGCTTCACCTTAACGATACTATATTCTACCAGAAGGGAAGGGCACCTGTATTTTTTGGTTAATCGTATCATGCCTTCGTTAAGCTCTGCAAGAAAGATGATGCAAGTCACCGATGGTTTGAATGACCTGTTCTTATGGGAAGAAACACCTGCTCCCAGCAGGGAGAAGTTCTTCCATGGGACCGTCCTTCAGCTGAAAAACTCTCCTGAGAGTGTATTGCTCGAGCTGTCGAGGCTACAAGGGTTTCCAGCCGTAGCCCACTTGTTTGTGGCCAGCCAAGGCTATGTGAACGTTCCCTCCTGGCACCACCAGACCAGACCTACCTGGTCCCTTCTCCCAGGCCAGACCAAGCCAGATCTGATTTTACTGGTCAAGATATTATCATAACACAAGCATTTCTACTCAACTTATACGCCCTAGCTTCTCTTTCCCTTAAACAATAATCTGTTTTTTATAAAGTCATTGAAATTTATGTTTCTTAACACATCTGATCAGCCCTAAGCTGAACAAACCCAACCTTTTTCCTGAATCAAAACTTGTTCTGACTAAACCTGCAGAAAGCCAGTTTCTCCTGAATGACTGCATTTACAGCCACGTTCTCTTTGAAGTGCTTCATTTTGATAAGACTTTCTCCTGCTTGAAAGTATGGTTGTGCGAAAGCTTTCTAAAAGCCCTTGTGAGCACTTAAATTCAAACGCTTTATTTAATCACACAGGGAGAGACTCCAACCATCGTGCAAATATTTCTGCAAAGATTTTGCAAGGCCATTAACCCAGCTCAAACCTTGAATCTGCATAATGCTATTTTAACCCTAATAATAGCCCACTCTATCCTGGCCTGTGAAGATGCAATACAGAAATACCATCGTCTTCAGTCCCAGAGGTGTTGAGAGGATGCAGAGGCATCCACGTAGCAGACCCTACATCTTACTCCCATATGGAGTTTTATTAGAGGGTTTAAGACTGTTGCATGGTTTGTACAGAGGCTCTGCATACCTGAATTGAACGCAGAAAGAACGAACCCATTCTAAATACAGCCAAGAAATTTAGCAATAGTTAAAAGCATGCATATATAAAAGAGTATCCAAAGACTACACTAAAACATTTTGATGTTAGACTTCATTTGATTCTTGCAATGTGCACATGAAAATGATAGATATTTGCATACCTCCATGAAGGAAATCCCTAGACTCCAAACGTCCGAATGAATTCCATACTGTTCTCCTGAAATCCGCTCAGGCTGCAAAGAGATGGAAAGAAACGTCTTCTTGAGCCTAGCAAACAAACATACGTACTTACCCCACAAAAGCTAGCCCAGGGCAAACAAAACTGAGGAAACGCAAAGAAGCTTAAAGCTCACCAGCTAACCTGGCAGAGAGCAAATCCACTCTTCGAACGCAACTTATTTATTTATTTTTCCCTCTTCTGCACAAGCAAAGGACTTGGTTATGCTCAGGCTTGCGGCCGTTCATTGCTATGCACCTTGTAAAGTTGGCCTTGGCATTTACCTTTGGGCTGGTTTATCCAACAAAAAAGCCAATGGCTTGCACACGCGCAGCGCAAGGTCAAGTTGTGAGAGTCCAATGGTACCCACGTCTACTGCCGGCACGGCAGCGAGGGACGCTAGGAAAACAGACTCCTAATGTTGAGTCAAGGGGTTGGGGAGTAACTACGGTTTAAAAAGCAGAGTTATTGAAGCCAAAAGAATCAATGAAGTCACATGCCGGCAATTTTATTTTATATACTTTTTAATTTCATTTTTGACCTATAGAAAAAAAAGTCTTCACTCAAAACTACTAATAGCAAGTTTAATGCCTCATGAAATAGAATGCTGTAAAATATAACTGCTAGTTTTTACTTGAAAGCTACAATTTAAGCATTTCCAAGGTCAAGTACAGCATGAAATGTAACAATAAAAGGCTCCATGAGACTTCTCTCCCCACTGTGCTGTTAATGCACCTGTCTAGCCCAACCACCTACAAAGCACCAGCTGTATTTTTAGTCTTTAATAATCCAGAGACCTTTTTTAGAAAACAAACTCCCAAATTAGTGCCAGTCCAATGTGTTTTCGGATGTTTACTCTGCACTGCTAATCCCAGGTCAAGAGCTTTTATCGCGGTATGAATGTTAAGTAAAAAGCACAGTGCTGCCCACATGATCTTTGAGGATAGCCTTCCACAACTGCCACAACCTAAAAAAAAAACCCACCCCAGAGTGTAACTGGAACAAAATCTTTGTGACTGAGCCTCATTTATTTTGAGCTGAAGAGTGATCCAAAAATTTGTTTTTAAAGTTCATTAAGACAAGCCTTCATTAAGTATAGTTAGCCTAGGTCAGCAGATCTTAGAAACACTTGCAACGGTATCGTATAGGGATATGATTTTTAAGCATCCTTTTATACTGACAATGATCCTCATACAGATGCAGATATGGAATCAAAACGTACGCCGACGCATACATCTGCCTTTATAACGTAACAGGGTATCGGCTATCCCGGCCAGGCATGTTTTGTTACCGGCAGATACCGCACACGTTTGTGCAGATGAGACCCTGGCCTTTCCTGAGCCGCCAAATCGGGTCCGTAATTCACACCGAGCAATATTAAATCGTTTACTCTTCCCTTGTAAGAGCTCGAGTTCTAAACAGCAACTTATATTTTGAAATTATGTATTCACCCAGATAACGGCAATTAAATCGTTTGCATGTTTTAAACAAAAAGTCTAGTCACGTGAATTTAAGAGCATGGAAAAGATGATGAAAATAAGAGTAACACATGCATAAAGTAAAGCGTGCAACGCAGAGATCATCCTAAGGATGCACAGCTCAAAAATATTTTCTCTTAAAAATTTCTACAACTGGTTACTTTTTTCATTATTTTTTTTTTCCTCTACAAAGCAGTGATAAAATGATTTTACAGAAAATGTATTTTTGTTGGAAATTTTAATTTCTCAATCAAAAAGCTTTTTTGCTTGTTTATTTTAAACAGAAACCACAATTCTTTTAATGGTTTCAAATTCACTCACAGTCTGCCATGTAGGCAAGCCAAAGCTTATGACCTTCTTTATTTTTTGATGACTAGACTATAAATCTGATGAGAACAAATGACTCATTCAGCAAGCAAAACAACTTTAACACAAGAAATCAGATGAAGTGTGTTTTAGCTTAAACTTCTCTTTTTCAATTAATAGATGAATGCATCACATTCATCCATAAACAATAAGAAAAAAGTAATTTATTTAATGTACACCTGGGAAAGAGAACAGTAAGCTTGATTTGTACACTAGAAGCATAATACAATTTAATTCTCAGACCTGCTTAAGACCACTCTAAGAGTAGCAGCTGAGTTGGAAAAGTTGATTAGTTTGAAGCTGTTTATTTGTCTGAATCGCTGTATTCCAGTTCTTTTAGAAAATGGAGGCATAGAAATCAGCAGGCTTACTAGCAAAAGCAGTAATATAGGAGACTGGACTTTTTTTTTTTTTTTTAAAATACATTTTTCTGCACATAATATTCTGACGACACAGGATAGCCCAAGTCTTTCTAGGATGGTGACATGAGTGTTTCAGATGCCACATAATGAGTACACCTTGACTGGAAAAGCACTTAGCAAATCAATGGACACCCTGATCTGCTTTCTCCTTACGAGAAAGTAAGAAAAAATACCTGAAAGCGATTAAAGGTCATGGATTTCTCTCTCCTCTTTTCTGAGGTTTGAAAAATACAAGTATCAACCACTTTGTACTGTTTACACTTTTTTTTTCCCAACAAGCTGAACACTTATTTTTTCCTCATTAGTATTACGACATAAGCAGTTTGCTAAAAGACTTTTAATGGCCAAAAATAAAAGACAGCAGTTAATATACCGCTCTAAACTGAAACGTTTAAGTTTTCACATCTGTTAAATGGAGAAGGAAAATTGATCAAATTGATCTAATGGAAAATACAGGCTAACTTTTGTAGTTTACTTTCAGACTGGCTCTTGTCACCATATTAATCTCAACGAGACGACCACCACACGCCAACTGGCAGGTCAGCTAGAGCTGCTAACCCCAAACCTCGCACCCCAGCTAACCCCAGCAGCTGACACGTCTTCAGCAATGCGTTACTTTGATCTGAAAATGATGAGAATTTTTGTTTTAACCTACAGAAAATGGACAAAAGTAGTCTCATCATTACAAAATTTATACGGAGAAGCGAAATGCCTTGCTGACTTTGCTATTCACATTACACAACATGCAATTTAATGCCCTTGTATTATTAGTCCAAATATTTTCCAGCTTCAAATTTCCATGGCAGCTTCACATGGGAAACACCCACACAAGTGCTTAGGTACCGAGAAGTCCACGAGACGCCTGCACGTGTCTAAATGCTTTGCTGAGCTCCAGGCTCGGAGCAGCGGTTCCCAAGCTGTCGACAGCATCGGACCGTCAGTGGTCTGCAAAGAGCTGCAGGCTACGAGTGGAAAACTGGTTTGGTTTGGGTTTTTTTTTTTTTAACGTTGAACCGGCTCTCTTTGTTCCTCCCGGTTGTTACGATGCAGTAAAGGCAACTAAAAATACACGGAAGAAACACTTTTCTGATATTACTCTTCCCTCTCGGCAAGCAGTGCAGTTGTGATGGAGCGGTTAGGGGAGCGCAGGTAGGGAGCGGGTCTGGGAGACAGTAAAAGGGAGCTGTTTCGTGGCACGCGCAATTAAAACACAGCTTAGGCTGGGGGTAGGGAGAGATGAAGTTTGAGGATTTAGAATCTATCCTGCATTACACAGAACACGACTGTGAGCAAATACTTCTAGTTAAATGTTATTCCTGCATAAATCCACTTACCGCCATATAAGCATTTGTTCCAACATACGTCTTGGCTATAGAATTCACCAGCTATCAGACAAAACAGTCTGTTAGAACAATATAAAGATAATGTGGAAATAAAATGGGCAATTATTCCTCATTTAACCTACAATCATCATTCCTATAAATCAACTAAAAATTATGTAAAAGGGAACAAATTTATCTGCAAAGGCATTAAAAATGATTAAATCTCTCTTTTGTTCGGAATGAGAGTTCCAATTTAAACAAGCACTGCATTACAGTTTATGGCAGATAACCTTAAACAATTCTGTTAAACAGGATGCTTATCGCTTTAGTACCCCAAACTAGTCTGATATAAAAAGTCAATTTGAAGTAGGATTGAACGCACTCATTTTTCAGTCAGCTGGCTCAAGATGTGAATAAAGCCACATTCATCACTTGAATGCAACGAGCACTAAATACGCTGGAGGGACAACAGACTCTGACAACTTATAATACGAGGCTGACCTTCTCTTTGGTCCTCGTGTTTGGCTGAGAGTAAAGGTGCTGAAATTCAAATCAACATCACAGCAAGCTCATGGGTCACTATCAGAGAAGTTCTCCAGGGAGACCCAAAATGGAAATTAATTAAAATTTGTGCTGCACATTGTAAAAGCCCACCACTATTGTTACTCCCAATATTAATTTTTATTGTGGGCCAGTTGGGCTCCCCAGACACATCTCTCGCTCTGCCCTCCCTTTTGTCTGGCCAAAACACTTTCATATCAAAGCTGCATATCAATGAAGTTTGCTATTCGTAAGTAGTAATTACAATATCAGCAGTTTTTACTGTCATTAAACAATGAACAATCATATTCAGATGAAGAAAAGTCGCCCAGAGATTAAAAATGAATAGGGCTCTCCCAGCAGAGGGGAGCTGCTGTGGGGCGGTTTGTCTGGCAGCCAGGTGATTTTGACGTTCGAAAGAGAGCGGGCAGATATCTACAGGGGGAATTACCTGCGTGCTAACCCCAAAGTCACACAGCTTCACCTGGCCTCGCGTGTTCACCAACATGTTAGACGGCTTCACATCTGTTCGGGGAACAAAACCGGATTTAATCTATATGATCCTATACGTATTGTATAGACAGAGATCGTTACGAATACTGGTGTGAGAGATTTTAAGAGGAAACATTTCAAAGATACATTTCAAATGCAAACTGGTTTGTAACAGTCAGTAGCACAGATGACATTATATCTGTACCTCTCAAATACCGATAATCCATGTTATTAAATCACAGAACCATTTAGGTTGGAAAAAGACCCTTAAGATCATTGAGCCCAAATCTGCAGGTGACGCCAATCTGGACAGCAAGGGCACTGAAGGACAGGACCTGGAATTCAATGTGATCTTGACAAATTGGAAAATCAGATTGAAAAAATAAAGATGAAATTCCATGGCCACAAGTGGAAGCGCTACATTTAGACAGGGATTTAATCAATTCATAACTATAGGATTAAACAACTGCTGGATTGCAGGCTGGAGCAGGTCTGCAAAAAAGGTTCTGCAGATTACAGCAAGAAGCGGGAACTGCAGAGAGGGAACGAACCCTGCCACGGGACAACGCAGGAGCAAGCCGAAAGCAACGGTGCAAACGGTGAAGCCTGTTTTAGTATCCAGGGCTGACCTTTTACGGTCCAGCCCCGTGACTTCGTACTCCCAACGCTGCAATTAACCCTGCCTCCCTCTTCCCCAGCAGCCCTCGCTTAATTCCATGTGTTGACCAACACAGAATTTAATATTCCATAAAAATTACAGCGTATCCCGTACAAATGCCTACAGAGAGGAACACAGACAAAAACACACGAGCACGTTCCGTCCTCCTCCTGCTACAAGAACACATACAGTGCAGCTTTGCTCTCGTGCAAACCATTATTCCAAGCTACCGGCTTTGGATTCAGAGCTTTTGCAGAAGTTAACTGCCAGCAACGCCTTAAAACGATCGCTAATCCTGCTCCAGCAAATAAAACATCAACCTACATGGTAAAGGCAGGTCGTCAGTGCAAAGATCTTAATGCTGACCCCCTCTGATGTCAAAAGAAGTCAAGTACTGTAAAATCGACGTGCGAATAAACTGCTGAACATCCTGACTGTAGCGCAGGAAACATTTGAGCATCCTTCTGTTCCCGGGATGCCAGTCGGAAAGCATAATGTGCGCGTTACGACTGGGCTTAAACTTGGGAAGCTTAGAGCATAGTGGCTTTGCCTAATCACTGCTTTCTTCTGTCAAAATGGATTAAAAGCAATAGCTTGTATCTTTGCCTTCTTTAAAAGTGAACACTAGTTGGGTGCAGATGGATGAAACCCAACTAGAAAAGAACCTAATTTTGTTTATCATTAAGTTTGCCTTTGTTTAGCAGATGTTTTCTGGTACCACAGTAGCTCGCTTAATTTGTCTCTGTAATGTAGAAATGTATAACCTCAATTAACAAGCTGATTAAATGCTTTCCTATATTTGAGCTAAAAATCCAGTTTAAAAGGGGGGAGCACGCAATAGTACGTGATATAGCTTAAGCAGATCGATACATTTCAAGTTGGGTATCGATGCCGCTGGTACATTCTGCAATTGCCCCCTAAAGCCAAAGGAAAAATCAGTCACAAGTGTCTCCATCACGTTACAGCATCGACAGACTTGTGTATCCCCATCTCCATTTCGTCGCTAGGAATTCAATCCGTATGCTGCATTTCTGATGGATCTTTACCTATTCCCCTGCCTCAGGTCACGAGATAAAACACCACTACAGAGCAACCCACGCAGCCAACAAAATCTCCCACACGCTTCCCAACAACATTTTAAGACTACGTTTTCTAACTCAAACTTCAGGGAGACTCAGAGATTTGCTTGTGTTCCCGCTACGCAGCACACTCCTCCCCGGTGTCGAGGGGCTTTGCTAAATCTAACAAGAGACGCCGAGTACACCGGCAGGCTCTATCCCAAATCCCGTGAAGAACAGCAAGTTGCACCGTAATCCTGTTTAACCTTCTTTCTAAAAATATGGCAGCCAATAGAGCTACCTCGTTACCAGGCTTGCGCCGAGTTCTAATGAACTAAATGGCAGATGCAATTACACGTAAAGACAATGCCGACGTTCTGCACCACGAATCCAGCTGTTTACAGTGCTCACACTTTGAAAAGAAAAGTGCAGTATAACAAGAGCCCCTCGCTTTTAATTGTGAAGGATGTAACAAAAATAATTAATAACCAAATGGACAAGAGAAATATTTTGGTGCAGTACGGCTGGAAATAGGTTTGCAGGATCAAGACCGGATCAACTGCATTATTTTTTAACAATGCAAAAATTCTTTCACTCCGAGTGAGGGGTCTGGGAAGGCAGAAGGAAGAACGGTCCCCTGTCCCACCAGGGCTGCCCAGCTCCCACCAAGGAAGAGCCACCCGACCATCACCCAGTGTCACCGGGGATCTGCGGACCCCATCTCCCCTTCCCCGCTACCATGTGGGATGTGACGGTAAGTCGATATAATGAAAAAACCGCATCTGTTATTCATTAAGCGTCACTTGATCCCAAAATCCTTCCACAAACAAATCTAAAGAAAATCCTAAAAGGAAAAAAAAAAAAAAAAGCCGTCGGGGATCAGCCCATTAAGGGAGGGAAGCCTGTGCAGGTTGGGGACTCTACCGAGCAAGCTGCAGCCAAACAAGCTCTGCCAAGAACAAATACTATCTGTCTTTGCAGTAGAATTTAAATAGCACTGAAAACAGGGGATTTAAGCAAATATTTGCTATGAATGCCAACGGTTGTGTTGGTTTGCTCAAGAAAAAAGGAAGTGACAATCCCAGGCAAAAACGTTACTTCGCAAAATATCTCATATTGAAAGTGGGGAGAAAAATCACCCGATCTGTAAATTAGCCTATTGGTTTCATAAACCACTTCAGTTAATGGGTTAAACATTTTTTGTTTTTGGAAAACAAATGTGCATAAATAATGTTCTGCACCATCTGCTTGTGATTAATATTACTGTTTAGAAGTGAAAGAATTTAAACAAGAGCCAAAAGGGGTCATTATGCTCCCATTACCAGTGCTTGCTTAATACAAATGATTTCTATGAAGCATCATTATAGAGGATGAACAAGTCCTCTTTATGATATATCTGCCTAAGTTGTTTCACCTCTCTGCAAATAAATGGGACCTCCAAAGCTCTTACTTAGCAGTAAACAGAACTGTCAGAGGTTCAGCTTTTTGAACACGAAACATTTCAGTCATTCTCTTTTATTGAAAAGCAAACAGATTAATGATTGTGGGGAAAAAAAAACAAACAACCACCCAGATTTTTAAAAGCTGTCTCTTGACTTTTTCTGTCTTTTAAAAATACAAACCCGCAATATGCCAGGTTCAAGGGAGATGAGAGATACAAAAGCACAATTTTAGCTGCAGACAGCTCACAGAACGTTACTGTTGAAGTGAAGCTGCTGGAAGAATGAAAATATTTTCTTGCCATAACGACCTCATCAGCATGCTATTTGCAGAGGCCAGGATTATTTTTTTTTAAATAAGCCTAAGTGATCCATGAGTGTGTATGTATGTCCTTAGCTATACATAGATATACACATAAGTATGTATAGGTATACATACGCACACCCTGGTATTTTCGTTTGTGCTTCATTATATGTGGCACTAACGCTGATTATTTCTCACAAAGCTAGAAAGGAGGGGCGGGGAGGGGGGGGAAGTCAAATACAGCAAACCAGAGTCGCTGCCGAGAAGACGGGAGCACTCGGCATCCGGCTCACCCCAGCGCCTGACCCACCAACCAGCACCCCTCCGCTCCCGTTCGCTCAACCTCGCACGCCGCAAGCCACAAAACGCTTCCAGAGACTCCGATGCAAATTTAGAACCTAGTAGGAAACCAAGGTCCCCAAACCCTGCGATACACGCCGGCCCCCAGTACGCAGTCAGGCGTACCGATACAGATCAGTACAATTAAACACAAGCGGGTAACATTTATTTCATACGTTTCCTTTAATAAGGAGGTGTGAACAGAAAAACCATACCAGATAAAATGCATACGGTCTATACTTATTCTTGAACTTAACAGATTTTGGTTTGTCTTTATACAAACTTTGACTTTGTACATGATTAGACTTGTTTAATTGCTAATTCTGTTTTAAATCTAAGTTAATTTCTCATTACCCTTCCATTTCTACTTCTTATCCTCTGGGGAAAAGAGCACACTTATCATTGGGACATTCTCACATCTTCCAAAGAACCGGTGTAGGTGTTAATCTTATGTTTATGTTTGATGTGGGTGTGATGCCTACGACTACAGCTTCGGGTTTATTAATATGCACGGCTATCACCTCATTAGTTGCAAGGTTTGTTTTGAAGTTAAGCTGTAATATTTGCTGAAATGTCTGATCTGGAATAAAAGACTCGCTCATTGTTTGTTTCCTTCGCTTTAATCCGTGCTCTAGGCGCAAACTGTCGGTTGCTGCACCGCATTACACAGCTCCTTCACGATGATCGCTTCTCCACCTTTGTTATCACCCCAGTGGAAATTCTTGACTTCTTAGCCTACGCGAGCTTCCTGCGCGGTCTGCTTTGCGTGTGACAGCAAGGAAGTCAGGGTTACACTTTCTTTCGTTTACCTCTGATGCATTAAAACCAGCTGAAGGAGATGACTTTGAGAAACGGGCATCTTCCTCGCATTGTATTACTCGGTACCCATTTTTAAGATGTAGAAGTACACACGCATTTTTTCTGTATCTTAAAAACGGGCACAGAGTAATACTGAAAACCAATCCCTTGAGGA